GTGTGCAATCCGTATAAGAATACGTCAGCACCGAAAAGCCTAAATTAAAAGGTCACTAACTGTTTGTTACGATTTAGATATCGCTGAGGTGAGCCACACTCCTACGACGGCGCAGCTAGGTCCCAAACCGAGACAGTAGTTATCCGCTCTCCCATGACTATTGCCTCGACAATATCCTTGTGCAACTGCTTTTTGATACAATTCAATTGTCTTTTGTTCATTTTTTCTACTCCAGCTCCAAGTCTATAACAGTTACCAAGATTACATTGTGCTACAAGATGACCTTGTTCAGCATAACAGCTTTCTAATAGCATTCAACTGTCTTTTTCTATTCCACTTTCATAACACTGACCAAGATTAGTTTGTGTATAGTGTTTCCTTGTTCAGCAGCTTTTTGATACTATTCAACTGCCTTTGTTCATAAATTGTGCTGGAGCATCACCTTGTTCAGCAGCTTTTTGATACCATTCAACTGCTTTGTGCTTATATCTTTCCGTACTCCAATTCCATACTGATAACAGTAACCAAGATTATATTGTGCACCTGTGTTTCCTTTTTCAGCAACTTTTGATACTAATACCATCCAACTGCCTTTTGTTTATTTTTTTTACACCAGTTCCACTTTCATAACATGCACCGAGATAATATTGTGCATTAGTGCTTCCTTGTTCAGCAGCTTTTACAAGCTTGCCAAAAAAACCACTTGGCAAAATTTCTAGTATTAAAGAAATAATGTTTTGTTCATTCTCAGAGATAGTAGTAGTCATTTCGTTACAAATAAGAATCGGCGTTGTAGTAAATAAAATAAATAAATACTGTAGCCGTATACGCTGTATTTGTAATGGTGGGCTATTGCGATTGCGTCATCATTTTTGTAGAACAACACTTTGTACTACATTCAGCTTTTGCTTATTTACGTAATTTGCAGTATTACAACAGCTGGAATGTTTTTCTTCAAACTTGCTGTTCAAAAGATACTAATATCGTTAATGAATAAAATATTTTACCGCCACAGCCTAATATGCCTCGTCTCCCTTTAGCAGTCTGTTTGGGATATCGTTTAGACTGTAACAATAGAAGCGTAGCACATTATTGTGGACAAACCGATCAATTGCGACGCGTGAATACTTTCTAAGCACACTCTTTAACTATGGGGTGCTCATTTTCTGAGGTTAGACGTTTGTGTAACAAATTAAGGTAATCGCATTAAATCTTCTAATAGCTTTAGTTTTAATATTAATATTAATGGCAAGTAAAAATAAACGCGAGAATCTTAATGACGAAAAGACGGGAAACATTTTATACATTGAATGAACATATTAATATGCACAAACAAAACTTCATAGACGAAATTAAAAGTTATTGTTGTGATAATAATAACCCTTATTATTATGACGATGCACAAAATTTTTGGGGTGGTGCTTATTTTCGAAGGGTACTTAAAATATGTTCTTACATTGTCGACCATATTTAGTGCTTAGAAACTATGCGAACAGGACTAAGAAATTTCGGGGGTGCAGGGTCTGTACTTTTTTCCGGCGGATCAAGACACGTGAGTGGACAAAAGTCGCTAATTTTTAAAAAATTTTTCTTGCGTCTCTTTGAGCGTGTTCAATCAAATTCTCACGAATTAACAAGGTATGACACTTTCTTTTCTAATATGATCTTTTACGTGTCAAAGTTATATAATGCTTACCTTATCTCAGCAATGACTAAGAAAACCGACTCGGCAACGGAAAGTCTCAAGAAATCAAAACATAAGGATGAAAAACGCAAATCAAAGAAAGACAAGAGCTCAGGAGGCACTGAGAAGAGAGTCAAAAAGAAAAAATTGGAAGTTATAGAAAAAGTTGAAGAAGTGGCGAAAACGACAGACGCTGGAGATCCAGTAGTTGATCTGGGGAAACCGAAGAAGAGCAAAAGATCGGGAGATACTGAGAAAAAAAGCAAAAAGAAAAAGACAGAAAACGTTGAGAGCACAGAAGAGTTACAACCAGCAACTGAATCGTTGCCAGTAGCTGAGTTGGAGGAAACAGAAGAGAAGGGTACGTCATCAGGAGATATCGAAAAACTCGAAAAGAAAGAATCCGAAGAAATTGAAGTTATCGAAGAGGTGCATCAAGTAGAAAATGGTGAAACAAAATCAATAAGTAAGAAGAGAAAAGCAGCAGATGGCAAAGAGGTTAAGAAGAAGAAGCAGAAAAAGGAAGAAGGCACTGAATCAAGATCTGAAAAGAAAAAGGAGAAGAGTTCAAAGAGAGGGGAATCTAAAAAGAAGAACAAACAAGAGGTCTCCGAAGATGTAAACGATGAATCAAAAGCAAATGGATCTAATGAGTCAAAGAAAACGAAGAAAACAAAGACTAAAGAGGGTGATAAGCCGAAAAAATTAAAAGCGTCTGAAAAACTTCAAGATGCTGAAGTTTCGCCTACAAAACCAAAGTCTAACAAGCGAAAACGTGAAAACCCTTCAGAAGTTGAGATATCCGATTCGGAGGAAGAAGTCACAAACGGATTTGCCGAAGAGGACAAATCTAATATCAATGGAAATGTAGAAATTGGGGAAGTCGCAGATAACACTGATAATGACGATGAGAAGGTCGAGAGTCACTCTGCAGACGGTAATTCAGCAAACGCCACTATGAAATCGGTAATATCTGAAGGCCAGCATGGAATTTGGATTGGAAACCTAAATTACCAAACTTCTGAAGAAAGCCTAAGAAGTTTTCTCAATGAATGTGGAGAAATTACGCGAGTAAAGATGCCAAAAAACTTTGATCAGACGAATAAAGGGTTAGCCAACTTTTGCTTATTCTATTATCTGTTAACGTGTTTCTCTTAGTAAACTGCTAGAGGGATTTTCAGTTAATTGGAAGTGAATTTATAACAACGTTTATTCTTATAATAGCTTTGCCTACGTGGACTTTTCGTCAGCAGATGCTGTTAAAGCTGCAGTGGCGCTTAGCGAGGGAGTACTTGAAGGACGGAACTTGCTTATTAAAGATGCCAATGATCGGAGCGATAGTACTGACAAGGGTGTAATGCTGTTTGTTGGGAATCTCCCGTGGGAAACTGAAGAAGCAGATCTTCGAAACCATTTTGGAGATTGTGGAGAGATTATCAGTATTCACATGCCAGTGCACGCTGATTCTGGGAAATTCAAGGGGTAAATAATGGGATACATTAATGTTGATGGGTGCCGTGTAGAACAAAAGCTTATATCATTGACCCGCATTGTTATCTTTGTAGTTTTGCACGTATTAAATTTGCGGACGCGTCTGCCATCGATAATGCTTTGTCAGATTACAATAAGCAGTACTTCAATGATCGGATGTTACGATTAGATCGCGCATATAACGCTAATAACAGTAACCATAATAATCATAATGGGGATACAGGATACAAGAAACAATTATCCGAACCCAGTTCTACTCTCTTTGTGGGTAATTTACCATTTAGCACGTCCGAAGACGAATTATATAATTTCTTTGGAGAATCCGAGAATGTCGTAGGAGTACGTCTTCCAACATTCGAAGATTCTGGGAAGATCAAAGGGTATGAAGATTTTACGTAAAGTGTTATTTTTCGCTATATAGTAAGATTGTGTCTTATGCCGTACAACTTTCTTCTTTTCAATCGTACTTTTTTATACAGATTTGCGTACATCGACTTTGAAGACATAGCAGCTGCCGAAAGAGTGCTTAACGATACTTCTAAACATACACTCAACAACCGGCCATTGAAAATGGATTACAGTCCTTCAGGGTCAAAGAACAGTCATAAGGGCGGAAATTACAATAACGGTGGCTACCGATCAACTCCGCGTAAACGTTCTCAATACGGCAGCACCTTTGGAGGCGGTCGCGGAGGCGGCCGTGGAGATGGTCGTGGAAGTGGTCGTGGAGGTGGTCGTGGAGGTGGTCGTGGAGGTGGTCGTGGAGGTGGTCGTGGAGGCGGCTACGGTCAATCTTCGTTTGGCAGGGGTAGTCCGCGTGGGGCTGCTCGAGGTGTAAATGCGATTGCTTCCCGTGCCAAGGGTACGATTGCAGAGTTTCAAGGGACTCGAATGAAGTTTGACGAGTGATGAGACATAAAAGATTAAAAAAAAAATTTTTTTCTGGTTGAGGAGAAAAGTGACAAGATAAACCCGCATTTAGCCTGAATAATAAAGCTTTAAAGATGATTAACTTAATCAAATGTTCGTTCTCAAGCACTAGATCATGACAAACCCAATATGGCATTGCCGTGGCGTTTTTCTTTTTATTCTCAACTATTGTAAATATAACGATTCTTGATAAACGATAAATAAATATAATAGTAATATAATTATTAGGCTAATGTGAAGAATATTAATTATGTCTGTCAATGCAACACTATCGCCCGTCCCAATTCTATTTAATGCTTATGGAAACAATTATTACACATTCCTTTTTTAAATACATTTGCAGCATAATCGTCGCATTCACATTCCCGACATGGCCCAACATTACTAGCACCGCGATCATTAGAAAAGTCAGGTAAATATGAAGTACGTTGTGCACTCGCAGAATTCGTGGACGAACTCCGTGTCACAGACCGAGGTGCAGGTGCAGAACGAGAGGATTTTGATGGAGGGGGTTTTGATTGACGAGAAGGTACTGGGGGCACATTTCGTGACGTTGTTGTTTGAGATCGTATGCTTGACGAAGAATTATTGTGAGTTAGTCTTGGGGGAGAGCGATATTCTTCTTCTTCTTCTACTACTTCTTCATATTGATCGCCGAACGTATCTACAGACTCTTCATTTTCTGAATCATCGTATGATTGACGTGAGATTTTTGGAGTTCGCCGGCTGGATATTGGTTCATTTATTTCAGTCGTGTAATTAGCAGGAAACATGCCACGTCTCACTGTACCATCCGGATCGGTAATTTCGCCAATCCACCAGCCTTCATCTATTTCGTCGGTCACTGTTATTACATCATCTACTGCGATCGTTAGTTCATCATCTCCGCTCGCTTCAAACTCATATATGGCCTTGACTCGCTTGGCCCCTGATGAAGACGATGAGTCTTTTGAATATGTACTAGGTGACCGGCTACGAACTGCTTTGTTGCTAATGTTCGACTTGAGCGATTTTGATTTAGATGCTGCGCCAGAAGATCGAGACGTGCTCGTCCGCCCGTCTCTGCTACGAGAATCGTTCGAGTACGATCGGGTATCATCATCCGAGAACTGATCCTCAGTATCGTCGCGCGACGTTCTTGAATCACGTGTCGATCTCCTTGAATTTGATGGTCGTCTCGATGTAGTTTCCGAGTTTCTGAATTCAGGAACATAACTATTCAGTCTGATGAACTGTCCAAATTTCAAAAACGCGATGTAAACATACTTACACTTCAACCCAATCCTCCTTGACTTCTGCTAATATTTCGTATCCTCGTTTAAAGAATTCGAATTGAGCGTCTAAAAAGGAAGTCACGTCTTTGACAGAATGATCCTAAAATATAAAAACATCAATTAATTAAATAACAGTATTCCAGCCAATACATTAAACCTTCAATGACTTTATACAACGCAATGACGTACTTCGTGCTCGAATATCGTGTTTATCTTATTCTCAAGATCCTCCAACGTTTCCTCATACTTTTGTTTAGCAGCCTGCATTTCCTCTTCCCATTCAGGCTTTTCCTTTTTTGATTTTTGTACTCTATTCTGTTTGGCGTCATAGTCCAATCTTCTCGATTCAAGCTTCTTTTTCAGAGCTTGATATTGCTTTATATCAGTAGTGACAGCATTGATCCCCTCAAGAAACTCGTCTTTAACACGAGTGAGATATTCCAATTGGGCACTGGCAATTTTCTCGTTTGCAATCCCAAGTTTAACCAGCGCAGCGCCTGGTGACAAACAAAGCATATTTATCAGTTCTTATTCAAGACCAGTTTGTAAAACGAGTAATGCGAAATAATAAACAGCCATATGAAAAGACATACCGAATTCTGAATCACTGCCAAGATCTTCGCCAAATACTCTCATCGCTGCCCCAAGCGATTCGATTGGAAGAGACCTGCTCCTGTCATCAAAAGAGGCTTTCTTCTTCCCTATAAGAAGAATCAATTATAGAACCTTTAGATAATGTTTTTTCCTAATTTTCGAATATTTGTTAGATATTTACATGATTATTTGAGACGGCTCTATGGAAACAGCCACTGATCAATAATTATTACAAGAACGGGCTATGAAGCTAAAACGACATTATTTCATAATTTCACCTTACCTATTGTCTTTAAATAAGCATTTGTTGTAACTAAAAGTTTATCATAGCCACTGTTTCGAGCGTCAGCTTTCTGTTGTAGCTCTTTGAATTCGTAGGTTGTCTCTGTTTTATGCGAGGACCCGAGTTTCTCGCCCGTCCACTATGTACATGGAATTGTAGTCAGAAGGCGAAACGAGGGCTGATGATTTCATCGTGCTTTCTGTTTTTCTAGCGTATTCACTCACCTGCTTGAATTTTCCTATGTTTTTCTTCATTCTGTAGTGTCTACAATTCTTATTTTTGTTACTTAATGAGATAAATAAAGAACAGAGTTTGTTTCCTCCCACTATTAGAAATAGTAAGGCTAAAAATTAATGTCCATCAAAGGCAAGTGTCAAAATCAGGTGGGTATTACAGAGCTGGTTTTGGGTAGTCAGGTGAGCTTAAAACGTTTATCAATACGATTCTTTCAGAAAATGCGTTTGTCTGGGCCTTACGATCATTCTCAATAATCTTTGAACACGAGATTCAATTATAATATTGCTACAATTTTTGTTCGTTTAATAGCACTTGCTTCTCTTGCAGGTTAGAACGAACAAATGTAAAATGCTGCCATTTGAGTTATCTGCAAATCGGATTAAAATGACTTTTGAAGCTTGGAAAATCAAACATTACCCAAAAAGCCACCCCTCCAAAAAATTTTAAAATTTTCATATTAATATTAATTAATATGAAAATAGAAAAAAAAAGTCGGTTTAATCCGATTTCGGTTTAATCTGTCACAATTGTTATAAAAGCAGTAAATCTAATATGCAAAAAATCCACACCAATTTCTGACGTAGACAATACGTATTTATATTGTTATCGCGTAATCATACAGTTTGAATTTCTCAAAATCCCATCTCCAAGTTCTTCCCTGATGACAATAAGAGAGTCTCATCGGATAGAAATTATGTGTTATTCATATTTCCCATAGAGCATAAATTCACTAAAGTAATATAATAAACTTTCTTTGACATCTAGATTGTAATTGGTAAATACGCAAATACTTTCTATGAGATTTCTTTATTTAATTTATATTACTATGTCAATTGTATACACATTATATTTTTATTGAGAACAAAATCAAGTGACTGTCTACTATGTCATGGTCTGATGGAATGCCTACTACTAATTCTCGTATTAGTATGCAGAAATGATGGAAAACAAGGACTGAACTTTGATTTTGCATACAGGGTGCAATTTCAGGATTATTTATGTAAATTTGGAAAAAGCACAATAGGGAAAGATTCCTATATCAAGAGACTACATTAGAGATTGCAAGTTAAATCATCAATCATAATCAATGTTTGCTCCCGTTGAATAATTAACTATTTCCTTTCTTATCACTACCATCTTCGCTTTGGTGCGAGTCTAATGGAACGTGCGTAATATAAAATCTTATCAAATAAAAGAATAACATACATAAACTGCTCTATAAGTCTTGGACAATACGCCAAATCTAAATCTATGCATAATAGACCCAGGCTAGCCAATCATTCTCTTATTAACCGTTAAGACGAGACTCGGATTTCCTATTATTAAACCAATGAGTCAGGTAGGCTTCAATTTACTGAACGATACATAGGTTTTAAGCATGATATTGATAGTACCTTGGTCTTCCTGGCCTTCGCCCGCTCGGACTTCCACTTCTAGCGGGTGATAAGTGATTACCAATGGAAACTAGTTCCTTTTCTACATTGACGAACACGGGTTTGGTTGGTGGAAGGGGGACGTTTTTAAAGCCAGCGGCTTCATTTTCACTAACAATCGGGGAAGAAAGTGGGAACGGCGAAACATGACACGAAGAAGGTAGAGAAGAATAAAAAGTAAGATATAAAATGCAGCGAACAATATGATGGGTGGCCTTTGTTTTGACTGTTCATTCTATCATTTATACGTACGCTTCGGCATTTGCTTCCGTATATCCTTCATAATAATGCTTCGAGTTTTTGTCCACATGATACATTCGTGTAGATGGATCGTAATACGGTCCTCGTTGTTTACGGGCCCAGATTAATAAGGAGTTCCTGGTAATAACCAAAAAGACACAAAAGTACTTATGTGACTGATTTCCACCTAACAACAACAGCAGCACATCTTCTCTTATAATACATAAAGGTTATATTTACCAGTCTTAATCCATTCGTATTTCAGTTGTAACCAATATGGGGTTCTTTAGTATGATTGTCAATGAAAACAAAGAATAAACAATAAAACGACATAATCAACAATGAGATAGTTATGACAATACCAGCTGTAGCTTGAATTGCTGCTTTCTTTCTCAGCTCCTCTTTCACATCTACAAAACAAATTAATTGCAATTATTAATTATCAGCCATTCCAGACTATAATAGTAGTCTACAACCATTTGTTAACAACCAAGACTACGAGCATCATACACTGTAATAACAATGACAAAACTTTATTCTTATGGCCGCATAGTAAATTAGTGATCTAATTCCTGGTTTTTTTTTTTGCTTGTCGACCAATTACCTGCGCTGACACTTGTTGTTTTTTGTGAATAGCTTTTAGAGTTATCGTTGGTGTCGCTATTATGGTTAGACATTGAGATATTACTATTGTTGGTGGGAGAATGAGAGTATTAGAAACGGGCGGCATGAATGGTAAGGAATGTGTGACAAACATTTGATTTGTTTTCTACCCTAAAATGGGTATGTGACTGGAAGATCAACGACCAGACTCTGCTTATGAAGCTTGATTTGCTGTTGATGTTAATGAACAGACAGGAGACAAAGAACGCTCTTTTATTTACAATAATAAATGAAATAAAGGAAATAAATTCTAGCTGAATCTACGCTGTTTATATCCTTCGAGCTTAAAAATATGTATGTATCACGTGAGATAAACTTTGGCTATACCGATACTAGTACTGTGCACTTTGTTACGGTAAATTCTCTCGGATGGCTTCAATCAGACTCAGATAGACATTGCTAGACAATGCTAGATAACATCATTTCATTGTCTAATCCGTATCTAAAAAGATAGCTCCATCCAGCAAAGCCCGGAGAAAAATCCCACGGGCGCCATTTACATCTCTATCTATCCGAAGTTGACATTCACTACATTCA